TTAGCTCTACTTCCACATGAATGACAGTGGCCCCAGCTCTCTATGCTCCTTCTCCCAGTGTCTCAAGGGTATGGAGATCTCCCTGGGACTTTGAAACCTTATCTTTATTAACCATAGTTTAGGATTTTATACCAAGGAGAAGTTACTCAGTAGGAGTTCAGTGAATATCACATCTGTAGCTTTGCTATTTTATACCCTTCGAGAAAATGGAGGCTAAAAGGGTTCAAAGGCTTCTACATTGCATTTTGAATAGCCCAGCAACTTTGTTCTAAAAATAAATACATGGCTTAAAAATAAATAATTAAGTGGGTTCAAACCAGAGGCTTACATTGCTTTTGAGGATACTCACATATGATCAGCTGTTGAAAGAGTTGCAGTTCAGCTGCACTGAGCTAAGATTTAGTGACAGGGGCACTCAGGGATCAGACTTAAAGGCAGAACTTTACTCTTTTCATTAGTGAACAAGAAATGGGTATGGAGACATCAGACTAGATGACATGGGGAGATAATACACAGTACCAAGAGTCTTGAATGCTTTCCAGCAGCATGGAAGACTGGTATGGCCAATCTTTAGGCCAAGATTCAATGAAGAACATTAAGAACAATTGTAAGTTCATTCTTACTTGGCAAAGCATGTCAGTTTATGCTTATCTTTAACCTGTGATTATTGAAGATAATAAAATTTATGTGTGCACTTAAAATTAAGCAAGAGCTTTATTGTTTTGTTGAAAGGAATCCATAGTATGCTGGGGAGAAAGTAGCCTGGCCTGCCATGGCCAGGGGAGGCTGTTTTTATATAAGGCTGCATAACAAGGTAAAAAACAGGGAAAACTTTCTGAAGATTTCCTCATCCTCACTTCCCACTCCATATCCTCCCACCTTCCTAAATTACCCTTTTTACATCTCAATTGATGGAAAGACAAAGAAACCACTGTAACTGAGTAGAGCTGCAGAGTGTAGCAAAAATTGCAAGGGGCAGACTGATAAAAGCAAGTCTGGTCCAGCTTGAATGTATGAGGCAAAATAAGCAGAAGAAAGCTAGAAATGTACGTTGACAATGAAGGACAAAGAGTATTATAAGCCTTATTGCTGCAGTCTGTTAAAGCATTTGCAGCAGACAAAAGATACAAGAAGAATTGGCAAGAAGAATTAATAGAAGAAAAAGGATAAAAAAATAGCAAAATTATTAAATTAGTTTTTTCATAATTATTTTAAACAGAGGAGCACATGCTCTAGTATTCTGAGAGTTCGGCACTTGTACACATCCTTCTCGTTGTTTTGAATGAAGCTCAAGCATATGATTAAAAGTCTTTCCTAAATAAGAGTATTCTGAAATCAGGCTGAAGACAGGAATGGAGAGCTCCTTGAACAGGAATCACATTTCCAGACTTAGGTCCAGGTTCAACCATGTGTGTGTGTGTGATGCTATATTTGAAAATAGTGTATGCACGTATCACAGAGGGAGTACTTTATGTGCTTGAAGTTGGCAGCATGCTTGAGCACCCTGTTAGATTGTGGTGAGAGAGAGAAGGTAAAAGCTGTAAAGGAGAAAGAAAATACTTGTGAAAGGTTTAGGCATTTTTCCAGATTGCTGGTACACTGTAGCGCACTTACTATTAATGCTGTAACTTGTTATGTAGACCCTTCAGAGCAGAATCCTGCTCACATATCTGATATGACTTTGAAATTCAGACTTTGTCATTTCCAGGTCCAGGAATTTAGAAACTTAATTTTTTTATTTAAAAAAGGAATAATTAGTTTTAATGAGAAGGGATAGAAGTATTTTTATTTATTTTTCTGAGGGAATTGAGGAGATAGACAGATAGTTTGACAGCAGGTAAGAAGCTCTACACTCTAGGTTTTTAGGGAACTAAACCCTAAGCTTTAGGAAAAAAAAGCTTAATTTAAAAAATAACTCATTGCTAACTGATTCGTCGGTTTTAAGAAATATAGTGAGAATATGTTTGGGTTTAGTAAACGAGTATCTTGAAAGGAATAACTATTTTGGAGACAGAAAGTAGTAACTTATGGAGGTCTTGCTGTAAAGATTAAATGCAATACTTTGACTATTACCTTGGTCCTATAGAAGAAAATGAGAAATTGAGGAAAACACTAGAAGTATGCCTTAGAAAGTTTAATTTGATTCTTGTTAACCCTGTTTGAAATTGAAGCAGCTCAGATATCTTTTTTAACTCTCTCTATCCTTGTATTTCTATAAAGTCAAGAGAACATTTTAGACACTATACAGTTTCAGGTTTTAAATTATTTAAATTATTTTTAATTTTCATTTTAATTTGTTTATAGGCTTTTTAACATTATTCACTCAGTCTAGATATATGACAAATCTCAAATAAAGAAGGTGCTCATGATTTTCTTGGTCTTACACTGCCATTTGGACAGTGTTCAAGTTTAGCTGAATATTAAAACCTTAGGAGGATTATCCAAATGATATCTGTAGATCAGTGGTTTTCAACCTGTAGTCTGCCATCTGGGAATCTCT